ATTTGGTTTTATTGACTATCAAACAGCTACATGACATCACTAGTCTGACTCCCCAAAGTGGGTCCTGTGAATGTATATCATAAATAGTAAATATAATGCCATGTTTTTAACTAGGCCAATTCTGCATTCTTGGGAAAGATAAAGTGTTTGAATGGAGTGATGATAGTGATGCCCTTGAGATTAACACAGAAAACTGAGGAAGCAGTTTCTGGGTCACCACTGGATTCTTATTTTCCATTTTTTCTATTTAGAAAAAAAAAGTATCTTCTTGTACATTTTTGGGAGTTGAATATTTGGTCTATAAAGAAAAAATAAAATAATTGTACATGTACAGTGAGAATTAATTTTGTTCTGCCATCAAAGGCCATTTGGGAAAAGCAGACAAAGTATCCTATTCTTTACTACACTACTTTAATTCACTATTATTGGGCATTTGTGTCCTAGTTGCGCACAAATTGAAAAGTTAACATAAAAACTAAAGTAAAAAAAAAATTAATAACATGTTTAGATGTGACAAAAGTATACAGATTAGTTTTAAAGAAACATTTCTTGGGACCCAGTAAAAATATAATAACATTGACTGTGTTCAACTGATTTTATTTTTTTTTCTGTATATCAAAGAAAGCATAGTGGAGACCAAACACAAGGCAGGTACAAGTGAGGAGAAAAATTAAGCTTAATCAAAAAACAAAACAATAAAACCCAAAAACTAACAATGCAAAACACCACTGCCACTATTATTGTTCAATATTCAAAGGAATACCTTACTCGTGCTGAGCAGAGGTGGCTTTTAAAACCATTATGGGTTCAATAATAATCGAAAACAGTGATGAGTAGTAATGATAAATCGTATAAGTAGTAGTACAGTTATAACAATAGTGATAATCAAAGTGACAAAACAAAGAGTAAAAAGCAGATCTCCATAAAAACTTATCTAAATTGGACAGTGCAACACCATGTATGTGTATGTGTGTGTGATAGAGAAAGAGATCCCAGTCTTGAGGTCCAAGCACTGTTGTCCATGCTTTACAGACAAGATAGTTTTCTAACAGGAAAGATTTCCCCTGAAAGACCCTTGTTTCAATAACCACACCAGTTGTCATGTTGATGGTTGCGTTGTTAAACGTCTGTAGCTCGTGCAAAAATTTGTGGACTAGTGCAAGTGTCAAGCCGTGGGATGTCATTTACAGTTTGCATTTATGAACACCTCTCCTGCTCTCTGTCAACCTCAAGATAGCTTTTTGGTTTTTGAATGACAGAAAGCAAAGGGAGGATTACTTTGGAATATCAGTTATTTTTTTAATATATTTCTTTACAAAAGTTCATTTTTTCATTTTGTTAAAACTATCAATAGTAACATTATTATACAACTTAAATCGAAGGAAAACATCTTTAGTATGTTATGTGTCCTTCAACACAGCACCATCTTATTAACGCTTAGTCAACACATCGAATGTTTCCCAATTTGTCTTCAAGACTGATGTATCCATTAGTCCCTTAAGGATACTGGCAACACCCAGATTTCTCCCTCGTCACGGCTTTCAGACATCAGGTCCTTACACGGCACGTGCTTTAAAAGGGTAAATAACTGAAAAAGTCAATGAGACAGGGTGACAAGAAAAGTGGACAACAGCTCATGTCAAGCTTCATTCTATAAATATTCAAGAGAATTGTTTGACCTAAATAAAATCAGTTACAATTTTTAATTGCTTGCTGTTGTCAAAATTTGACCTAAATAAAATCAGTTAATCAGTCAATTTTTAATTGCTTGCTGTTGTCAAAATTATGTAGTGAATAAAATACAGGCTCATCTATATCTTAGGGACATTACGCACAGAAAACAAAAGGATAAAATTTATGGACACAGCCTGCACATTTGGCCCAATCTGGATACAATTATTTCACCATCATCATGTGAGCACCAGCTAGGCATCAGCTGATGAACTTCTTATTATGGACATATTTCTGAGATGCCCACTATAAGTGAAAACTGTCTTTCAATTAATTTGAAGAGCTAAATTCAAACACGATTAAAAACTTTTGGCTGGAAGGGTAAATCCACAGGATCAGAATTTTGTTGCCACTGCAAGATAAACGGTCATTATTCTCCTTGGCAACATGGCTGAAAATGTTTACAGGCATGGTTAGTTACTTATCAGATGAAGACATTCAGAGAGTTCACCCTGAAAATGCATAAGAAAGATTTTGGAACAGAGCTCTTCTCCCTTTGTTCCCAGGTCTGTAATCTTTCACCATGATATTCCCCTCACATCTAAAGCATGTTTATTAGATTAAAAAACAAAATTTAATTTTATTTCAGGTGATTTATATTAAGGCATCCAACATGCATTATTGTATCTTCCCATAAAAGACACTTGCATTAGAATGCTTAAAAACATTTTAGACAATGTAAAATGTGTCAAAGTGCGGTATGCCAGGACTCTAAGTTCCTCAGCCTCTTTTTGCCCTGTCTAGTTGGATTGTCGTGAAAACTCAACATGTAAACGGGAACGAATCCACAGCCCCGTTCTTTCTGAAGTACCTTTTTTTTTATGTATATATCCCAAAACAGTAGACACAACACTCTTCATATCACACTGCCATAGCAAATTAAATGTTGATAGTCAATACCAGTTAATCCTTTTTCAATGGTTCGGTCCAGTCCCAAATTATCTAAGCAGTATTTGCTGCACGTGAAGGAGGCATAAGAAAAGCATTTCCACAGGAGCAAACAGTGAGTTACAAGTGTGGGCATTTCATGTTATTTTCCCAAAAAGTGTTCAGCTCCACCATCAAAGCCTTTTCCTCTTTCATTCCAAAAAGGAAATGTGTTTGCATCAGTCTTTGGGGTAGGACAGTTCAAGCATGGCAAGCTGAGTGCCTGTACAAATTATGGGAAGGTCAGTGAATTAAGGTATTATAAATTACAGAGTCAGGATCAGAAATATTTGGATAAAGTGGTTGAAGACACGGGGAAGCTTGAAATTGGTTTCTCACCAATCAGACAGCAGCCGATTAGATGAGGTGCAATATGGATATATTCGGCTGTTTTGTGTTTCTAGCTGGAGTCTGAAGAATAACGGATTAAAAGTCAGTGAAGGTTGAGTAGAGGGTGGAGGGGCAGAGGGAGACAACTTCAAAAACTAAATAATATTAGCTTTTGATTAGTGCTCAAGTTTGCTTATTAAAATCTGAGGAGCCCAAATGGGTCCAAAAATAGTCAGTGTGCAGACCAAAGAGCTGATCTGAGTCTCTAACTGCTGGTGGCCAATGGTGGGGGTGACTCAACAACCACTTCCCCTCCAGAACCTGAACCAGAGCTGCCAAGTGGAGAGGAATGCGAGACCTGCGATCCCAGCACAGCACTTCCAGGTCCACTATTACCGGTGCCATTTTTGTTGACAAGCGTTGTGGGCTGACCAAAGTTAGTGGTTCTCAGCGTTGCCAGGTGACGTGGAGAGAAGACATGCGTCCTCGCTGCAGCGCGGGAGTCGAAGGTGACATTGCAGGCATCACAGCGACCCGTAAGGGTCTCTTTCGACGCTGACTGGCCACCCACAGAGGAAGCTTCAGGTTCAGTAATGGTCAAATGAACAGGTTTGGGGAGGATGGGTCTATTGGCTTTGAGAGCGTTGTACTGTAAGTAGCTTCCTGAGCTCATGTCCACCTTTCCACCTGACACAGGAGACTGGGAATGGGAATACGTGGGTAAATAGACATGACGAGAGAAAGCACAATTAGACTGTAACAATTGTAGATATTGCATTTTGATATTTCATCTCTTTGCCCACTGTACTTAATAATTGAGGAAACTAGCACTCAGACTTTAATTTTTTAATTATTGCACATTTTATTGAGAACAAAGGGATGTAAGTGATGCAGACCTATTGCACAAGCCTTTTTTGCCAGAAAGGCACACAAGAACCCATTTTCATTTAGTACCTCATTCCAGTTTCATGTACTTTAAGTTGTTGAACTAAAAAGAGACCCTGGGACTGTGCAGTTTTTGGAAAATGTTTCAAGATTACTCTTTTTTGAGAATTACTTTTTGCATATAGTTTGCAATTGAAGATAATTTAAAAAAAAGCCACACTTTTCAAAATATTAGAACCAGACAAAAAATTGCATTTGGTAAATCTCCATTATTTATCCTATTAGCATGTGGTAGTACAGTACATTTCTTTTGGCTCACTGAACTATTTCATGTAATGCAACATTTACAACTGAACAAAAGGGATTAAGTTGAAAGACAAATGATAATTTTTCCTATTGCCTGTTCAAAGTTTCAGGAATTCCCACCATTGTTATTTGAACTGGAAATAGCATCATTATTATTTTTGCTTACCAATTTTTCTTGTTGCAATCTCCAGCGTTTCTCCTTGGCTCTGGTATTTTGAAACCAAATTTGCACCACTTTCAGGGGCAGGTTGAGCTCAGTACCAATTGCCTCACACTCCATGGCATTTGGGTGAGCGCAGGTCTCATAACAGGACTGCAGTATTGACAACTGGAGACAGGACAGGTGTGTGCGTGGCCTACGGCTGGATGAATGGGGCAGAAAACTTTCTGTTGGGCTTGACTTAGCTACGGCTGGGGTGTTTGGACTTGCCACCTTGGCAGAGATGGGGGTGTTCGGGCTGACTGGTGCAATGCTGGGAGTAGGAGGAGGGGGGATGGTACGAGCAGGTGGGTGCGTAGGAAGAGCCAGTTGCTCCCTTGATATAGTGTTTATCTTAATGGGCATCTTTGGGGTCCAGTAGTTTAGCCCATTCTGCTTCTGTGGCATTACAGCCGTGGCAGGAGACCGGTTATTGATAGGAGTCGAGGGCAGCTTGGGCACCATGCGGTTTGTGGATCCTGGTCCAGGACCAACTTCAATCTCGTCTTTCTCATCATCAGTCTTTTCTTCTTCACTCTCCTCCTCCTGCTGCTGCTGCTTTCGTTTTAGGGTAGGTCTTGGGGCAATGGGGACGGGTTCCTTAGCTAGGGCTGAAAGATTCGGGGCGTTGACTTTGGGTGCAACTTTGACCATGGAAACATTGCTGGTGGTTTCGAGCTTGGCCTTGACCAAAGTAGAAGAAGCCGTCTCCTTAGGTTTGATTGGAACTGGCAACACTTTTTTCACCAAGATTGGTTTAGCCACATCCTTCACAGGCTCGCTCTCTGTTTTGATAAGAGTGCGCACAATTGGAGTAGTTGTTATTCCCCCAGTATTGCTTGAAGGTGGCTTGTTAGAGAATATGGGCTTGGTGAGAGGCCAAGTAAATTTGATGAGAGGCTTGCCAACTGCTGCCAGAGTGCCATCACTGATGAATCTGACCTCACCTTTTCGTTCCCTTGCTCTCATGTTCTGGAACCAAATTTGAACAACTTTTTTTGGAAGATGGACCCATTCTGAAATCTGTTCAAACTCATGTTTTCCAGGATTTGGGTCTTTAAAGTAGCAGCCATACAGAATGTCAAGTTGATCAGCCTGAATGATGGTTCTTGAACGCCGCATGTCTCTATATCTTCTTCCTTTAGCTTTTCTCTGGTTTTGCTCTTGCTCCCTTTCCTTTTCTCGCTCCCTTTCCGATAATGCTGTGTTCATTTTCTCTGTCTGCCTCATGTAAATACTAGGCTTTGTTACATTATTGCAGTTCAGAAGATTCACACTGCTGTTGGAGGAGGACATGGTACTTGCAGATTCAGGCTTTACTTGGACAACTACCAGACCTTTGGTTGTAGGCCGCAGGCCAAGCCCATCCAGCAACTGCCCCTTCTGCGCGGCAATTTTATCAGCCAGAGAAGATGAGGAAGAGGCATATTTGGAGCTGTTTTTTCCCATGCTGAGATCCAGAGCAGACTCACAGTCCCCACCATTTGAAAGATAATGAGAAGTTTGGTTATGGGAGGAGAGAGACTGCAGTAGAGGGGAGCTTGATATGCGAGTGTGGGCTGATGGATTAGGAAAGGCTGGAATTTTGTTTCCTTCTCCAACCAGTGAAGGGGTAAGAGAGAGAACATATGGACTGATGAACTGAGGAGAAAAGTGAGCAAGGGACATAGGGAGTGAGTGTAGAGCACTAGTTGAAATCTCATGATGCTCTCCAGTGTGGGAGTTTGAACCTGGAGGATCCCCTTGGGCCTCCAGCTCTAGATCTACATCCGAATCTTGCCTCTCCTTCTTTATCTCCACCTCATCACATTCAAATTCTCCCTTTCTTTTCCTTTTTGCCCTTTTGCTAAGCTGACCTTCCTCATCTTCATACTCTTCCTCAGCATCAGAGAGAAATACAGTTGTGGAGCGTAAGACCTTGCCTCCAACTGTGCCTTTTTCACCATGTATCTCCTTTTGTGCAATGCATTTAGCAGGGCTCGCTGTTCCCTCCCTAAAGCATCCACTCTGACTATCTTCATCAGAAACAATGACAGAAGTGTAAACTTCATTTTCAGAGTCTGACGTGAGACAGTAATCTCTTTGACCCTCTATTCCCAAATCTTTCCATCTGCGCTTTCCTCTTCTACTTGACAAATCAATTGCCTGACTCCCTGAAGCTTCAGCACCATCCTCACCTTCTGCTATAATTAAGGAGTTTTCATCATCATCAAAGTCATTGTCTGAGCCATGCACAAGCTGCACTAATCCTCTCAAACCTGGCGGGTGGTCCGATTTTGCTGCCCTCTGCATCTGTTTCGTATATCGGGCGTGGCTCAGCCACCGACGTACCTCATCCTCAGAAAGCCCAACCTCTCTGCCTAGTGCCTCACAGTCTTCACTGGGAGGACTTGCAGCATCAGCCTCACTTCGAGACTCAAAGAAAGCCCAGAGAACCTCTGACTGAAACTCTGAAAGCACTGGAAGTTCTGAATAAACTGACCTACTTATATTACAATGGGATCGGGCTGGGTTGTTATTTAAGGCATTTGTATGTGGACTAGATTTTGAAGTGCCCACAGAACCACAAGGGCTAATTCCAGATTGCAACTTTTGTGGAGTTAAATCTGGACTAAGTGTAAGATTTAAATGCAAAGGACTGAGGGTTGAGTTGCTGGGAACAGATGCAGAAGGCGAGAGAGTATTATTGTTGAGGACTTTCTCTGTGTCAAAATTCATGCTTGCTGCTTTACTGTCTTCCAGCTCCTTTTTTACAGAGATGTCTCCATCCGTTGTGCTATCTGTGTGACCCCTCCAGTTATCCTTATAACCTTCTTCTTTCAATTTTGTTTCTGTTTTACTAGACTGGTCAACAGTGTCGTCTCGTTTAAGTTTCTCTATTTTAATGTCATCTGTCATCAAGTTCTCCCCATTCTTGTTCTGACCAGAGACCCCAACTGTCTCCTCACTCTCCTGCTTTACCTCACACTTTACAGCCTGTTTTTGCTCCTCAAGAAGAGGCTGTACATTTGCTGTGAGCCCAACAGAGGGCCACTGGTTCTGTAAGCTGTTAAGTCTTTGAGTAAGAAGGGCTTGCTGGGCTGTGCTAAGACCCACAAATGGCACACACTGTGTGAGGAGCTGGCCTTGCTGGCTTTCTTGATGCTGTTGAGTCTGTGCTTGCAGCCCATTCAAGATCAAGGGCATGACCATTTGAGGCTGAGGCACAAGCTGATGGGCGGTTACACCGGAAGCAGCACCGGCTGCAAGGAGGGAGGGGAGAAGGGTGTTAGAGAGAGTATTTGGGCTTGATGTAAGGAGGGTAAGGAAAGCTGAAACTGCCTGTGCGGAGGCCACAGGGGAGGTGAGAAGGGAAGGAGCCACTTGGGTAGTTTGAATCTGTTCTCCATCTTTTGTAGTTGGCACCATCACTGATCCAGGAACAACACAGTTTGTAGTTGTCACTAACTGTGGGGATCCACTTCCAGATGTGCTATTAGTATTTGGAGCCATAGACATGCTGCTCCCTAAAGCAGCGGTGGTGGCTGCACTGTTTGCAGCATTTGCAGTGATCCC